TTACATATAATACTAAATAATTATATTTTATCATTTATATTTTGCCTGTTTTTTTTTTAATTTAGCAATATCACACTGCATATGTGACAAGTTAACACATCAAAATGAAATGTTTATTTCTTTCTTTCGAGCATGTGTATAATTCATACTCATTGATATCTGAGAATAATTTGCCTTGCTTATTATAAGTGTGCATTCAGTATATAAAACTTGTTTTGAAAGCCAGCATTTAGCTGCACTAACATGACAGCAGATTAGTGTTTCTATAGTAGCAGCTGGAATTTTGAGCAGAGATCACGTATCTTAGGTCTAGTTTGATAATGCTAATGAACCAGTAGACGATTTATAAGCTATTCGCTGCCACTCGGGTCAAGAGAGTAGAAAACAACAAACAACACACATGCACATACTCCGTCAGAGAATTCATTAAAACCTCTCTTGTCCTCTAGGCCTGTTAACATGTGTAAATTAACACATTTGAGCTCTAATGACTATAATTTATTATAATATATTGCAGCCTAACTGTGTAAATTATGCAACATTCAGTTTTCAGGAAATGTCACAAATAATAGGTTTGGTAAAATTAGCAATACCTACACAATTGTAGATACAAGTAAACAGGATTTGAAGACTTATAGCAAGTGTTTAATGGCTTGCAAATGTTAACAGCAATTAAAAATAGAAAATTTTCAGAAACTGGATACTAAACATAACCTTCAACTCACTGGTAAATTCTTTAAGACCTGGACAAAGTTCTTACTACAGGAACTGACGAGGCCCCAGCTCAAGGATGTGATGACCATATTCCAACATTCCACATGGTACCTCCTAGCCAAGTCGGATGGGTCATTGGGTCAACTTGATGTCTTATAATGATTTGCTTGAATATTTACAGACCTGTATAATTCCTCGGGGGGGACCTATGATAACGCAGTAGCTCCCCCCCTATTAATGGACCAACATCTACTTTCCTATCTCCTCCTTTCACGCTCCCACCCAGGTGAACACCCTTCTACTAAGGAATACGCTTTGCATTGTAACCAAATCCATTTAAGTTATGGTATTTATTTGATCTACTCATACTTCATGCCCCCCCTCCCTTCTTCTATTATACCCATATCTTTGAACATTAGTCATATACTTACTTGATAAAACATATTGTACATTGAACTTGTTATAGGATCGTTCTTAGTATCTCCATGCTACCAATGTTCTTCCCAGTGACGGACAGTTACAGTTTTGTTTCTACTATTATACATTCATAAGATGATAATGTGTACTAAGCATAAGACAAACTCTGTATAATTCCTCGGGGGGGACCTATGGTTACCGCGTAGCTCCCACCCCTATTAATGGACCAACATCTACTTTCATATCTCCTCCTTTCACGCTCACACCCAGGTGAACTCCCTCCTACTAAGGAATACGCTTTGCATTGTAACCAAATCCATTTAAGTTATGGTATTTATTTGATCTACTCATACTTCATGCCCCCCCTCCCTTCTTCTATTATACCCATATCTTTGAACATTAGTCATATACTTACTTGATAAAACATATTGTACATTGAACTTGTTATAGGATCGTTCTTAGTATCTCCATGCTACCAATGTTCTTCCCAGTGACGGACAGTTACAGTTTTGTTTCTACTATTATACATTCATAAGATGATAATGTGTACTAAGCATAAGACAAGAACCCGGCTGGGTCCTTTTTTGTATAATCTTATTTGATTACCAACGCACAACTGTTTGTTATACATTTGTATACTCTTTTTGAAACCTAATAAAGAAATACATGCTTAAAAAAAAATAGAATTTTTTTGGGAAATGGGAATGTTTTAGGAAATTAGTATAAAATGTAAAATATTTTGATACTTATAATCATTATTGAAGACTTTTTGATCCATTTACTAAACAGATACAGTTGTACAGAAATAGATGATTGGTGTAAAAAAAGCATGAGCATGAGCTGAGGGTCTACAGCTGTGAAGCTTCATAAATTGCGGTTATTGTACACAGTAAACTAAGTGCTATGATGTAAGCTTACAGATTCACAGTTAAAGTAATCTCGCGAAAGAGCTGTTCTTGAATTCTTTATTTCACTTCTGTCTAGATTATTTGTTTTTCAGTGAATATAGTTGGTAAATTTGCTCTGACAGTCAACCAATAGAGTCAATGAAAATTTGAAGTGCAATTGCATTATTTATTTCTTATGGCAGGGTACATTGAACAGATAATTTATGTGCTCAGTTTTCTAAATATCTTAGACAAGTTCTTGACTAGTGAATGGTTGTTTTTTCCTGAATCTAGCCTATATAATTTTAACAGCTGTGATGGGAAGAAAGTAGGTGAATTCTATCACTGGTAGATGAGTTTTAGTACTGTGCTCATAGCCACCTAAACCCTTGTATGAACTCAGAGGCTTTCCTGCATTCTTCCTCAACCCAAGTCAAGGTCATCTACTTCTCGACTAGGATAAATAGCACACACACCCAAAGCACCTGTAGTTACTCACCCCACTCAGGATGATGATCTACATGTTTAGCCCTTTCAACTCATTGATACCTGCATAACTAGAAACACACCAATGCTTCCCATACACCACCTGCCATCTGCTGTCTTCATTATCCAGAAACCCCTCCTGATAGATCACAGCTATTCTCATTTCTGGATGTTTTGTTAATTGCAACAGCCCACTCTTCAAGAGCTTTATTCTAGTCTAAGTGGTCTCTGGAGACTTGAAGAAGGCTGTACACCTAGGGGGTTAGTCACAAAGCTGCCGAAGGCAGCCGAGTGAATAACCCAGCCCAAGTGAAGTGAGCCGAACGCTGTTCGGCTATCCACTTCTGGCTTGTACGGCTGATTTCAGCCGTACATAGGCTGCCTTCTGCTGCCTTTGGTTAGCCGAACATGCTCTGCAAGTTCGGCTGAGACCGAAGTGCAGAAGGAGTTCGACTCAGCCGATCCAACATCTTGATCGGCTGAGCCCAAGCTCCAGCACCTCACAGTGAGTGAATAGCTCCGGCAGTAAGTGTGTAAGAGTGAAATGAATAAAAAAAAAAGGAAAAAATGGAAATATAATTTTAAAAATGTAAGAAAATAGGAAAATTAAAAAAAAACCACTGGCAAAGATGCCAGAAAAGGAAAAACAATTGGGCAGAGCTAGCAGTGACTGAAATGACTGCTAGCTCCACCAAACTAGCAGTGACTGCTAGCTCCACCAAACTATTTCCTATTGGCCGGCACCTGCCAGAGTCTTTTAGCGGGTCTTGGCCAGTGAATGCCGGTCATTACAACTGGGTGGAGTGAGCTGTGACATCACGGCTGGGCCCTTCAGTTCGACTGAATTGAAGGGCAGAGGCGGTCGAAGAGAGCCGAAGGATCAGCCAAAGCTACAGCTGTATCCTTCGACTCCATAGCTATGTGGCTAAGGAATGCAAGCTGGTACTTTTTCAAATGAAAATGTAAATATACTACTAATCACTCACTCATAAATACTAGGGAGACATGTCCTCCTACTATAATGTTTTCTATAACATGACAAAATGATGTGTTCTGATATACTGAAGTGATTATATTTTATTTTGACTCAATGACAGTGCTGTATTCTGATATACAGAATTAAGCACATGCACTACTACAATTTCTAGCTTTCTATAAGCAGGCTATAATTAGCTAGGCGATATTTGAATGCACTGAATCTGTGTGCCTCTAAAATAAATAAATGGGTCACCTCATATATTTGAAATTGGCACTTGTCCACACTAAAATCCAGTAAACCTAGCAGTGCCACTTCAATTGGTGTGTAAGGTTAATGGAGCTGACAACCAGATGCTTTATTGCTACAAGATTTACTGATCTTTACCCTAAATGTGAGAAGAGGAAACAGGGAAATGTCTGCTGCTAGTTTAGTAGCATTCTCTTTCCTGCCATTATTGGCTGTGGGCCCCTGGACACTTTAAAGAACTCCTTTTTTTTTCCTTTTGCTAGTGACAGGGCTGTTCAAATATAACCCAATTGGTTGTAAATGTTGCTATGGTTGTAAAGTGTATGGTCAGCTTTAGATATGATGTGCTAAGCAGGAGTAGTGGCCATGTGTATGATTACAAAAAAGATTCCATAAACTGTAAAGTGTTCTTCATAGGAAGTGTCATTGTTTTCTGAAACTGCAATGTGGTTGTGTTATGTAGGAAGTTTAAATGCAGATAATCCTTATTGAAATTCTTCCTCAAATAGAAGGAAATGTACAATACCACCCACTTGCACAGATTTTATAGTACCATCCACTTGCACAGATTTTATAGTAAGCAAGATCTGTAGTACTGCCTCATAAAGTAAAAACTATGGGGTCTATTCACGAAGCATCTGAAGGATCTAGCCGTAGCTTCGGCTGATCCTTTGGCCCCAGGACCCCTTCGGTTCAGTAGAACCGAAGGGCTGCTGTGCGGGCTATTCACTATAGCCCGTACAGCTCCCGAAGTCGGCCGGGGGGCTCAGTCGAGCCAAAGGCATATACTTCGGCTTGACTGAGCCGAGGTGAAAGCCGAAGCTGGCCGGCCGACTGCCTGCTTCTGACAGCTGGGCGGAGCCAGCAGTGATCTTACTGCTTTTTCTTTTTTATTCACTGCTTTTTCTTTTTTATTCTGCTTTTTCTTTTTTATTCTGACACGGAGCCGTTGGCTGGCGTCAGAATAAAAAAATATATATTTTTTTAGCCTTGCTAGATTCCTATTGGCTATTTCAATTTTTAATAGCCAATAGCAAACTAGCTATTGCACCCACC